ATGTCTTTGATAGAAAAGGCAGCTATATTGTTCTTTTCAGTTTCCTCCGGTGTAACAGGTCCTCTTTAAACACTGTTTTTATTTTTATTTTTATTGCTATAACTGGCTCTCTTGTTCCTGGGACATCGGTTTTTACATCCATCTCCAGGGAGTTGACACTGCATCAGACAAGGATCATCCTTGTACAAGTGTTAAAAAATCTTGCAGGTTGGGCCGTGTACAGCACTAGCACACCATATGTGTGATAAACTGTCTCTTCCCATTAGCCTCCAGAAGGTTGCCCATCCTCCGAGATTTTAGGACACCAGAGGTTCTTGTGCATTCCATGTGAAGTTACCAAAGTTGGAAGATACTGTAGGAATCCTATACAACGTATCATTTTGGCTGTTGGTTCGGGGTAGTTTAAAGCTCATCTTAAACCCAAAACTAATCTATTGCAGCTTGCTGGTTTTAAGTTTGAGTGCATGTAGTAAATTTTTTTTTTTTTTCTTCAAACATTTTTCCTTTATTTTCACCTGGTGATCATGCCAGCAACACGTTTCTAGCCCTAGGATGACCACACTCACTCATTGTACTGTATGTATAGAGGAATAGCGTTGTCACTGTAAGCTGCTTTCCTGATTTGAACTGCAAACACCACTCCATCTCCCTATCTCCACAATTTAGGGAGGAGGTGTTCTGTAGTTCACAAAGAAAAACTGCAAAGATTGATATTATTATTTTGAGATTTCAGTTCAGTGCACAGGAAGTTACAAGTACACTAGATTTCTGGCAGGATCACCCTTTCTATTCTTCCTGTTTACCGTTATCATGTAAAGTAAAATTAAATCCCAAAATTTTGGGTTAACATCAGAACAGTAATAAAAGAAAAATCTTCCAATGGGGATACTAGTTCTTGTAACACCCCAGGATTCCCTCACTTTGGAGGGATTTCATTGTACTTCCTGTTTTGGCAGTGCAACAGGAAGTAAGGGGAGATCTCCCCGTGGGGCACAGATGATAAAAAAAAAAACAGTGATTATAATCCTCTCATGCGCTATCCAAAACAACAAAAAAAAGTTTGGTCTTTGGTGACACTATAATCCTGCCAGAAATCCAGTAGTTCTAACTTCCTTTAGTGAGCTGATGACGTTGCCTCTGCCCCACTGAGATCTTAAACAGTGTTGTCAACCCTGCCGTAGCTCTCCAGCATTACTACAGAAAATCTTCCCCATGTACTATGGAGATGAGAAGAGGGAGCAGTGCTGTCATCTCACTACAAGAAGGTAGGAGTGAGTGTGTGTTAAAGTGAGAACTGGTCAGAATCTGCATTTTTAGTCTTGGTTTTATAAGAAAACATGGCTCTCTCCTGAAAGTGCAACTGCCGTGGCAGTCATACAGACTGTCTTTAGTTACCAAAGGGCCGGCATAGCAGCCAGGTTGTATCATTCCGCTACTTCATATAACATATTTCTGTTGTGTGGGGTTTACTTTAAATTATCCTGCAGGCTTACCTACAGTTCCTGCCTTTTTATAGATTTACTTTAAAATATTCTGCAGGCTTTTATATAATTATATCCATTACAAGTGTCTGCATGAATCAACACTGAGATGAGATCAGCTACATCCCTAAACATGGGCAGGTTTCTAAATGGGTTTTTCCATACAATTTAAACACCAAGGACAATGTGTAGATTGTGACAAAATGACCTCCAACAGACCACTGGTGTGTGTGTCTCTGACCAAACCATCAGAAACAGACTTCATGAGGGTGGCCTGAGGGCTTGACGTCCTTTAGTGGGCACTGTGCTCACTGTCCAGAACCATAGAGCTTGTTTGGCATTTTCCATTGAACACCAGAATTGGCAGGTCTGCCACTGGCGCCCTGTGCTTTTCACAGATGAGAGCAGGTTCACCCTGAGCACATGTGACAGACGTGAAAGTGTCTGGAGAAGCCATGGAGAAGGTTATGCTGCCTGTAACATCGTTCAGCATGACTGTTGTGTTGGTGGGTCAGTGATGGTCTGGGGAGGTATATCCATGGAGGGATGCCATTAGATATCAGGATGAAATCCTTGGACCCATTGTCAGACCCTACACTGGTGCAGTGGGTCCTGGGTTCCTTCTGGTGCACGACAATGGCCGGCCTCATGTGGTGAAAGTATGCAGGCAGTTCCTGGAGGATGAAGGAATTGATGCTATTGAACAGCCCCCATGCTTGCCTGACCTAAATCCAATAGAACACTTCTGGGATATTATGTTTCGGTCCATCCGACATCACGAGGTTGCATCTCAGACTGTCCTGGAGCTCAGTGATACCCTGGTCCAGATCTGGGAGGAAATACCCCAGGACACCATCCATCATCTCATTAGGAGCATGCTCTGACGTTGTCGGGCATGTATACAAGCACAGGATGTTTTTTTAATTCAGTCCTCTGTAGGTTGATCATTTTTTCATTTCCATCTAACAATGGGGCATCCTTACATTCCTAACACATTACCCAGTATTAAAACACACACACACACACACGTTTTTGATCCCCTGCTGATTTTGAATGTTTGCCCACTCACAAAGCAATGATCAGTCAGAAAGTCGAATGGTAGGTGTATTGTAACACTGAGAGACAGAATAGCAACAAAAAATTCTATAAAAATGCAAGTCTAACTAATTATGCACTGATTTGCATGTTCATGAGGGAAATAAGTATTTGATCCACTTCACAAAACATGACGTAGTACTTGGTGGCAAATCCCTTGTCAGCAATCACAAAGGTCAGACGTTTCCTATATTTGGACACCAGGTTTGCGCACATCTCAGGAGGGATTTTGGCCCACTCCTCTTGACAGATCCTCTCCAAGTCATTAAGGTTTGGTGGCTGACATTTGGCAACTCGAACTTTCACCTCCCTCTACAGATTTTCATCAAATTAAGTCTGGAGACTGGCTAGGCCATTCCAGGACCTTAATGTGCTTCTTCTTAAACCACTCCTTTGTTGCGTTGGCTGTGTGTTTTGGGTCATTTTCATGCTGGAACACCCATCCACGACCCATTTTCAATGCCCTGGCTGAGGAAAGCAGGTTCTCACCCAAGATTTGACGGTACATTGCCCCGGCCCTCGTCCCTTTTAATGAGGTACAGTTTTTCTGTTTCCTTAGCAGAAAAACATCCCCAAAGCAGAATTTTTCCACCATGATGTTTGACAGTTGGGATGGTGTTCTTGGGGTCATAGACAGCATTCCTCCTCCTCCAAACATGGCGAGTTGAGTTGATGCCAAAGAGCTTGATTTTAGTCTCATCTGACCACAACACTTTCAGCCAATCCTCATCTGCATCATTCAGATGTTCAGTGGCAAACTTCAGACGGGCCTGGATATGTGCTTTCTTGAGCAGAGGGACCTTGCAGGCACTGCAGGATTTCAATCCTTGTCGGCGTAGTGTGTTACCAATTGTTTTCTTGGTGACTGTGGTTCCAGCTGTCTGGAGATCATTGAAAAGATCCTCACATGTAGTTCTGGGTTGATTCCTCACTGTTCTCATGATCATAAATTTTAGACAAAATCCTAATTAATGAATAATTAGACTCACCTGTAGTTGAATTCTTATTAAACAGGTGTCCAGCAGACCGTTGATTATAAATGGGTGTTACATAACAAAGAAAACCCCTTCCCATTTCATGCTGTCAGCAAAGAAAGGTGAAGGCTACAAGAAGATCAGCAAAGCTTTATTTATTTGTCAGAATACTGTTGGCCCTGATCCAAAAATTTAACAAAGATGGAACTGCAACCATCTCACAGAGACATCCAGGCCACCCACGGAAGTTAACACCTCCAATAGGAGTGTCTTTTGATAAGGATTGAAGAAAATCGCCATGCAAGTTCACTGCAGTTAGCTAAAGAAGTAGAAAGCCAAACTGGAGTGATTTGTTTCCCCTGACACAATTCGGCGTACCCAGCAGAGGAATGGCATGCATGGGTGTCCGTCCACAAAGGAAGCATCTCCTAAAGCCAGTGCACAAAAGAGCCTGCCTAGAATTTGCCAGGGCCCATGCTGAAAAAGATGGCGACTGGAACTCTGTACTCTGGAGTGATGAGAATAAGATAAATGTTTTTGAACCTGATGGCTTCAAAACTGTATGGCATCGCAAAGGTGAGGAGTACAAAGAAAATGCATGGTGCCTACAGTGAAACATGGTGGTGGCAGTGTCCTCCTGTGTTTGTGGGGCTGCATGAGTGCTGCTGGTGTCGGGGATCTGCATTTCATTGATGGTATCATGAATTCACAGATGTACTGCTCTATATTGAAAGAGAACATGTCACCATCACTCCATGCCCTTGTTCATTATGCACGTTTCCAATCATGACAATGATCCAAAACACACATCTAAGGCCACTCTCTTGCATTTCTGAAGAGGAACAGGGTGAAAGTGATTCAGTGGCTAAATATGTCTCCTGATCTGAACCCAATTGAACACCTATGGGGAATTCTGAAGAGACGAGCTGAGCATCACTCTCCATCCAGTATCCAGATCCTAAAAGAGGTTGCCAGCTTGCTCATTCCATGCCTACAAGACTTGGTGCTGTCCTTACAAATCAGGGAGGTCATACAAAATACTAGATGGAGTAGTTTTTATTGTGAGGTGTATTCATTTTTGCAATTTTAGTTAAACTGAAGATTTTGTGATTGAAGTTATATTTTATTAACCTTACTTTCATGTAATTAGCTGAACAAATGTTCTATAAAACTGTTTTGTCAAAATGTTGGAAATGAATCCTTTGTTCGTTGAGATATTGATTAAAATCTTACTTTTTAAAAGGGGTGTACTAATTTATGGTGAGTGCAGTATATATTCGCGAGAGAGAGAGGGATATCTATCTCTGTCTACAAAACTCAGTTCTTAAATACTATGCACCAGAGGGTAGGGAACAGAGGTATCAAATCTTAAAACAATGAACAAAATCTTTATATTCATTATAACAACAATGTAAGAATTAAATTTGTCCTTTTTTTTTTCTTTCTGCAGAGATAATGTCTTCCTACTAACACCCCAACTTACCCCACGAAAATTAAGTGGCCTGCCTTTTGAAAAAGCCTCTGAATGTCACTACCATGGCCTTGAGTAAGTTCTCTATATGTTTCTCAACTCTTTTTTTAGTTGCCTTTGTGTTTTATTAAAAAATAAATAATTGAGTGGGTATAGAAAAAAATCACCCTCCCTTTAAAATAATCACATTATGGTGTCCGTTTATGACACAGAGAATAGCTGCGATTCAACAGATCTCAGCTATTCTCTGGTCATTCACAGTTTATGACACTCAGGAGATCATGTCAGCCCTTCTCTGGAGATCTGTGTTCTCCCTCCAGATTCTCCAGCCCAGAGCTGGAGAATCGGAGGGACCGAAAACTAAGCAGAGATAATTTATCTCTGCTTAGTAAACTGATCTTTTACTATAATCTCGCGAGATTATAGTATAATGAGCCGTTTTCCAGAGTTTGTAGACCGTTCTCCAGCGTTTGGAGACCGTTCTCCTGCGTTTGGAGACCGTTCTCCCTTAGTTCTGAGAACTGCTTCATAAACTGCATTCACAGGAGAACTGTGTTCTCCGAGAATGCCGGAGAACTGAGCAGCGATCTATTACCGCTGGTTCATACACGGACACCTTTGTTGCTTTGCAACCTGGAATGAAGACACACAGTTTGTGTTTTGTCCACCTGGATTTAATTTATTATTTATATATTACTTTTCTTTTATTTACTAGTGCAACTTATAACATCCAAGTGAAACATATAACACCAAAAATCTTTAAAAATCAAAAACAGAATCACTGAGTTGGAAAAAGGATCACCCCCTCCTAAAAATGACTTGTAAACTCAATCAGGTGTAGCTAATCACCTGATTGATGCACAAGGTTTTTTGACTTTTCAGCTGTGGTCATTTTGATTAGCTCTGTAGGAAAAGAGCTTTCCTGGAGTGTTTTTTTAGTCCCTGGTAGTGCAACTCAAGCAAACAATCAACTATGGGTGGCAAGGCACTGTCAAAAGGGATAAAGTTGTGGACAGGCGATGGATACAAAAAAATATCAAAGCCTCATCGATGCCTAGAAGCACAGTGAAGTCTATTATTAAAAAATGTAAGGTATTTGGTACAACACAGACCTCCCTGGATCAGGAAGTTGCTCCAAACTAGATGAAAGAGCCAGAAGGAAACTGGTCAGAGAGGCTACCAAGAGGCCTACAGCAACTCTGAAGCAGTTGCAGGAATTTATAACAAAGCGTGTTCATTGTGTACATGTGACAACAAGCTTACATATTCACCACAAATGTGGTTTGTATGGGAGGGTTGCAAAAATAAGCTACTCCTCAAGAAAAGCCACATGCAGTCACCACTGAGCTTTGCAAAAACACACCTTGAAGATTCTGAGGCCACATGGAAAAAGGTGTTCTGGTCAGAGGAGACTAAAATTGAATTATCTGGCCTCAGCACTAAATGATATGTCTGGCAGAAATGCAATCCAGCTCACCATCCAAATAACATGACTCCTACAGTAAAGAATGGAGGTGGTGGTAATATCCTGTTATGGGGGGGGGGGGGGGGTCTCTGCAGCAGAGGCTGGAGTGCTTGTCAGGATAGAAGGAAAATTGATGGGGCAAAATACCATCAAATTCTTGAGGAAAATCTGCTGCCCTCTGCCAGAAAGTTGTCAATGGGAAGATGGTTCACCTGCCAACATGACAATGACCTAAAGCACACAGCAATAATGACCACACAGTGATTGAAGGTGAATGTTCTTGCATTGAAACTCTGTGGAATGACCTGAAGACTACAGTCCACAAACAGTTACCATCAAATTTAACTGAACTTGAGCAGTTCTGCAAAGAAGAGTAGGTAAGTATTGCAAAGTCTAGATGTGCAAAGTTAGTAGAGACAAATCCCAACAGACTAAAGTCTGGAATTAAAGAAAAAGGCGGTTCAACAAAATACTGACACAAGGGGGTGATCCTTTTTCCAACTCCTGTTTTTGTTTTTGAATTTTTAAAAAAAATTTTCGGGCATGTTGGTGTTATATCTTTCACTTGGATGTTATAGGTTGAGTAAATACATGTGGATAAAACAAAAACTGTGTCAGGCTCAAAGCAAGTAAATGTGATTATTTAAAGTGGGTGATTATTTTATATACCCAGTGTGTGTGTGTGTGTGTGAGTTTGTGTGAGTTTGTGTGTATATATACACTATATTGCCAAAAGTATTGTGACGCCTGCCTTTACACTCACATAAACTTTAATGGTATCCCAGTCTTGTATGCAGAGTTCAATACTGATTTGGCCCACCTTTTGCAGCTATAACCACTTAAACTCTTCTGGGAAAAGGCTGTCCACAAGGTTTAGGAGTGTGTCTATGGGAAGGTTTGACCATTCTTCCAGAAGCACATTTGTGAGGTCAGGCGCTGATGTCAGATGAGAAGGCCTGGATCACAGTCTCCACTCTAATTAATCTCAAAGGTATTCTGTCAGGTTGAGGTCAGGACTCTGTGCAGGCCAGTCAATTTCCTCCACCCCAATCTCGCTAATCCATGTCTTTTTATGGACCTTGCTTTGTGCACTGGTGCACAGTCATGTTGGAACAGGAAGGGACCATCTCCAAACTGTTCCCACAAAGTTGGGAGCATGAACTTGGCCAAAATGTCTTGGTATGCTGACACCTTAAGAATTCCCTTCACTGGAGCTAAGTGGCCAAGCCCAACCCCTGAAAAACAACCCCACATCATCATCCCACCTCCACCAAATTTTACACCTTGGCACAATGCAGTCAGGCAAGTACCATTCTCATGGCAACCTACAAACCCAGACACGTCCATCGGATTGCCAGACAGAGAAGCACACTAATGGCACAGGTGTTTCTGGCATCACAATGAGAGCCAAAGTTCCTCTGGCTACTCCAGTTTCTTTTTACACTCCAAATACCATGCGGATAAGTTGGTTGGCTACTGTCCAAATTGGCTCTAGTATGTGTATGCATGAATGTGAGTTAGGGACCTTAAATTGTAAGGGACTTGATGAGGGCATTACAATATATATGTAAAGCACTGTGTAAATTGACGACACTATATAAGCACCTGTAATAAAAATGTAAACTTGACAATAACCATGACTAATTTGTAAACCTTAATTTTTATATTTTTAAAGCGAAACTCAAGGATTTTTCCCTCCACTCCTGTATTAAAAAAATGCCTATTTTCTAGCACCAGAAGTCCTCTTCAGGGCAGAACAGTTGTCCTTCTGCCTAATCCCTGTAAGCCCAGCCTGTATTTGCAGGCTAGTCTCACAATACGCCAGGACTGAGTGGTACGCTCACATCTTTGTGTGGTGTTTATTTTTTAATACTGTTATTGCACCAGTTAGTGTTAAATGGATGAAGACGGCCTCTTTCAGTGGCATCTGTACCCTGAAGACTTATTTTGTTAAAGCTTCCAGCACACGAGACCACAGCGTTCTAATGGACTTAATGATCACACGGTTGGGGGAAAAACTCTGATTGGTTTACGATCGTCGTTGATGACTGGATATATCGATGACATTTGGGTTTGAGAGCTAGCTGTCAAATGTTTATTGACATATCCTCGGCAAGGGGCATCATGCTTGGGATCATCAATATAGGAATTGTGGACAGGAAAGGATCCGTAAGATTTTGTACAAAAAGTAAAAAAAAATAAAAGGGATACTATAATGGTTTGTTTTAACAAAACTTTTTAAAGTAAAAACAAAAGCCTGATTGGTACATATTCTACATAATGGATCCCATACATTTTTATGTGAGACAGCTTTGTTTTCTTATTCAATTCAGGTATTGCCTTGATGAAAGAAAAGCATTAGATCGTGATGTGGCCTTTTCGGAGCTGCAGTCTCGACTCATTCGCTATGAAACTCAGACCACTTGTACTAGAGAATGCTGCCCTCTACCCTTCGCTCTGAGCCCCCTTCCATCTCCTGCTGTCCTTTCTGAGCCGGGCAGTGTTCCGGACGGAGAATGTCTGCAAGACCCCCTGAGGCTAAAACGACGATCTAGGGACCTGGATGGATTGATTGCCAGCAAGAGGTAAATGACCTGTTGTGTGTAGATTCTTTGTTCAGTTGGGACAGGTGATCACTGACCAGCTATAGTGATCTGCTGTTAGAATGTTTGCATTTAGTTCCTGACATTTTTATAGTAAATGAAACCGCTCAGTCACAAGAGTAGTCAGGTCTTGCTTGCACGTATGCCATTGAGGTGCTCCTGTAAAGCCACATATGGTTCCCTAGGTGTGCAGTCACTTGAAGTGCAGATGAATGCATACAGTTCCATAGGCCAGAAACCATGAAGGTAATGCATGAAGGTAAAAAAAAAAAACCTTCAGCCTTTATAACCACTTAAAAGAATAATTCCAGGCATTAGTATTTCATACATAGTTACATTGGTCCAGCTTGGATCAATGTAACTATGTTCAATATATACCATACCTTGCTGATGTCCTTGGAAGCTGGAAATCACTGAAGTAGCCACCACTACTCCATTAATCTCCATTTGCTTCTGGGTCTCACCCTGAGCAGCTGCACTTCTGCTTACTGATTACAAGAAGTTGTTCCGTTTCTGGGGCGTCGGCCAGATATGGTACACAGTATACACAATTACTTTGGCGCACACCGGACCAATATACTAAGGTAACGAATACCCTTGCCTGGAATGGTTACAGTGGACCTTATATCTAAATCGCAAGGTCCACTTAATTAGTGTGGCCTCCCTCCTCCTTGCTAAATTATTGCATTAAACTGCAAAACAAATCCTATAGCGGGGGGGGGGGGTTAAATAGGATAGAGATTGTGGGGGTGTGTAAATTTTTAAAAACCTACTAAATCGGGGTCCCAGTCTACTTGCCCCCCCGTGACAATTTACTTGTCCTGATGAAAAAATGTATATATCATTTTAACCAAAACCATATTTAAATCGGAGGTGCTTTTAGGAATTCTGGGGCTTTTAAAAACAAAAGGGGCTTTATGACGACTTTTTTAATATTTTTAACATTGTGCTGTTTGTCTCTTCCTCACTTCCCTGCCTGTC